GAGGCAAGGGACCACATGTAGGGCCCATGAAACTACCCTCAGACAAGCCCCAGCCCTAAACCCTAATTCAACCCCTTGCGGATGATAGCAAGGGGGTACCATAATCCCCATTAAGGACTGTTAGTGTAAGGGGGAACATCCCAACCCGAAGCCGTAAACCCTAAATCCAGAAAACCCTGAAACCCCAAACCCTAAACCCTAAAACCCTAATTGAACCCCTTGCGGCTGGCGGTCCGGCTGTGTCCCAAAGCTGGGTCTTCACCTTCTTGCCGTCCTGAGTTTAGGGTTTAGGATTCAGGGTTCAGGGTTCAGGGTTTAGGGTTCAGCGTTTTGGGGTGGCGCCCTTGCCAGCAGCCCCAAGCCCTGTAAGCCCCAAGGGTTGGAGAATTCAGGGTTTGGGCTTTAGGGCTGAAGCCCCCATTGCAATTGCAGGGCTAGAGAATGTTAGAGGGATTCCGGGTTTCTGCATCTCATCGTAGGGATTTGGGGGGTCGAGCCTCAGGCTCCTCGACAATGGAACGGAGACGTCACAGGATCTTGACACCCTAAACCCTAAACCCTAAACCCTAAACCCTAAACCCTAAACCCTGAACCCTGAACTCTGAACCCTGAACCCTGAAGGGCTGTCGTGAAGCTGCCGGTTTAGGGTTTGCTGTAAACCCAAAATCCTGCACAATCCCCACAAGAACACTCTAAGGTCCCCCAGGCCCGAAGGGTTTAGGGTTTAGGGTTTAGGGTTTAGGGTTTTAGGGTTTAGGGTTTAGGGTTTAGGGTTTAGGGTTTAGGGTTTAGGGTTTAGGGTTTAGGGTTTAGAGCCCTGCACACCTGCGCCCTTAACCCCAAGCCCTAAACTGCAGCCGCGTGGCCACGTGTATGGTCCTTATCCTGAAGTCGACGCCGCATGTCGTCACAAAGTGATCGGAGTAGGTGTCCTGTAGGGTGGGGTGTGAAGGGTTTAGGCTTTTTTATGGTTTAGGGTCTAGGGTTTAGGGTGCTTAAGGCTTCTGGCAGAGGCTACGTAGCTGTTCGGGGTTTAGGGTTCATAGGGTGTGCTAAAATGTCTTAGTTGCTGAGTTCATAAGCCGCCCCGAAAAGTGGTAAACTTTCAGTTCTCTCGGGAAGTTCAGAATTCCAAAAAGTGCACAAGTGTACTCACTCAGCTACTAAGAGACAAGGCTGAAGAATTGGAGGTTCCTGCCTAAGGGTTCGAAGAGTTTAAGGGTACAAGGTTGCCAAACCTCCTAACCTCCTCGAGATCCCCATCCAAACCTCCCCGAACAGCCCTCAACCCCTCGAAAAACCAAGCCTCCAACCCCCAAAACCTCGCCCAAAAACCCATCCCCCGAAAACGCCACCACAATAAATCCCCACACAAACTGCCACCACCCCCGCAAACCCTAAACCCTAAACCCTAAACCCCAAACCCTAAACGTCATAGTGCCCTTTGAGACCAGCGTCATCTGCGAATCGCAGTAGGAGGCAAGACTTGCCAACACCTGCCCGGAGGCTCTGGCGAGGGTTTGTGACTTACTACTACAACGGCCCATAACCTATAGGAATTTAGGGTTTAGGGTTTATAGGTTTAGGATTTAGGGTTTAGGGTTTATAGGATCAGGATTTTAGGGTTTGGATCCTACATCCTCGACTCACAGGCCCTGTGTGAAGACGCCTAAGCCCTCTGAAAGCCCTCTGAGAGCCCTCTGAAGGCCTCATATCCACAAGCACCGTGTCAACACCATAGCTTATAAGGGTCCATGTTACCTCATGTATTACATTCCCTAGACCCTAAACCCTAAATATCCTAAACCCTGGGTTTAGGGTTTAGGGTTTGTTCCGGGGACCCGTGATCTGCCCTTTGCTCCAACAACTTGGTAGCCCAAGTGGTACCCTTTTCCCTTTTTTGGGTTCAAGGTTCCCTTCTCGAGTAACTAGCCCAAGAAAGGGTGCCCTTGTTATACTATACTTACTGGGCTAGCAAGACAAAACGGATTTCATGACGTGATGCCGGGTAGACGCCAGACAGTGAGCTAGGACCCGAGTAGGCCTTGACTTCCTTTCTTTTTGGGTTGGGGTTCCCGTATCATCCCCTTAAACCCTAAACCCTAAACCCTAAACCCTTTGTTCTAGGTTACTCCTGGCCCAGAACTCCAGAAGTCCGAAAGTGACCACGGTTTGGCATTTCGAGAGCCCAGACTTACAAAAGCGGGGGTCAAGGTTCAGGGTTTAGGGTTTAGGGTTTAGGGTTTAAGGTTTAGGATTTAGGGTTTAGGGTTTCACAAGCTCCAAAAGCCATGGCCGCCCGGACCTCCTACAGGGGCCGGAATAATTACCATGGTATTCCCTTATGGTCCCTTTACAGTTATACTCCCATACCTCCCAAAACCCATTCTATTCAGGCCCCAATATTAGACGAGAGCACGATTTTCGTCCAAAACGCAAGCCCTCCTCGAGAACAAAACCCCACGATGCGCTCAGCGGGCGCGCTGCGCGCGTCCGCCAATCTGACCACTTGCCCTCAGGGTTTAAACCCTAAACCCTAAACCCTAAACCCTAAACCCTAAACCCTAAACCCTATACCCAAGGGCGGCCTGAATCACCGATCAGCAGGATGCGGAAGAGGTAGTCGTGGTCCTTGGGGCGCTCTTCATTGGAGGCTTCCGGTCATAAGGGCGTTTCCGAAATTTGGGCGTTCCTTGTTTTGGGTCCTGACCATAAGGGGTCTGTATTAGGGGTCCCTTATTTTCGTAAGCTGTTGTAAAGAAAGGTGCCGGGAGCCTATGCAAGTGAAACCGAGACCGGTACAGGCCGTTGCCGTTGACGTGTGGTCCTCAAAATTCAGCCACTAAACTACGATTGCAGACGCCAGAACCAAAAAAACATAACCTTCTGGGGGTTCAACCTTGGACCCTTAAGGTTGTACCCTTGGGTTTTGGGGTCCCTTTTAAGGCTCCCTAAGGGAATATAAGGGCCAGATTAGCAGTGTATTAAGGGGAACCTTTAGGGGTACAACCTTAGGGGGTACGAGTCTTCATCCCTTGAAACCTCTCAGCACTCCGAAGCACAAAGCTTCCCTTTCCCACGAAGCAGCGCTGGTCGAAGGCAGAAGAGTAGTGGCCATGGCTTTCGCGGCTTGAGTGCCAGGGGGGGTGCAGGGGAGGGAGGGCCCGGAGCTTTCGAGCAAATGCCAGGGGCCCAAAGCATCCAAGATCCTCGAAACTTCGAAGGCCTTTAGGCAGTTGAGGGTTTGGGGCTCCACAGGGCTTGTTTAAACCCATGAAACCCTATAAACCCTATATGATCCCCCCCCTAGCCCCCCTAAACCGTGGAAGCCCCAAACGCTCAACCCTAGAAGCCCTGCTTCTTTGGCTTCTGTGGTGAAGATTCTTCCAGCCGTTGCAGGTCGGACCTTTTCTCCCCAACCCCTAAACCCCTGTAAGCCCTGTAAGCCCTCCTCCTTTTCTCCCGGTCTTCCCACAAGCGCCCAAAGCTCCCTGCTGCTCAGTGGGAGGCAGCCTGCATCAAGTGCCGCCCCGCCGGAGCTCGGCGCGTGCGCAAGGAAGCCAAGGATGCCAGGAGATGTCAAGCATCCGAGGTGAGGCTTGTTCGGGCCCTCTTTGAGGGTTTAGGGTTTAGGGTTTAGGTTTTAGGGTTTAGGGTTTAGGGTTTAGGGTTCAGCATCTCAAGTCCAAGCATTCACTAGTCAAGAAATTACTCCAGAACAATACCCACCCGCCCAAAGAATCCCACAGCATTAAGAAAATATTTCACTTATGGAATGACCTTGCCCAGTAAAAAAATGACCTTGCCCAGTAAAAAAATGACCGTGCCCAATAAAAAAATGACCTTGCCCAGTAAAAAAATGACCTTGCCCAGTAAAAAAATGACTTTGCCCAGTAAAAAAACGACCTTGCCCAGAAAAAAATGACCTTGCCCAGCAAAAAATGACCTTGCCCAGTAAAAAAATGACCTTGCCCAGAAATGACCTTGCCCAGTAAAAAAATGACCTTGCCCAGTAAAAAAATGACCTGACCGTGCCCAGTAAAAAATAACCTTGCCCAGTAAAAAAATGACCTTGCCCAGTAAAAAAAAAATGACCTTGCCCAGTAAACAAAATGACCATGCCCAGCAAAAAGATGACCTTGCCCAGTAAAAGGATGACCTTGCCCAGTAACATTTTTATGGCAAGGCCATTTTTTTACTGGGCAAGTTCATTTTTTTACTGGGCAAGGTCGTTTTTTTGGACGAAACGACCTTGCCCAGTAAAAAAAAAATGACCTTGCCCAGTAAAAAAACAACCTTGCCCAGTAAAAAAAATGACCTTGCCCAGCAACTCCTTAACATTTAAATTATATATGAAAGAGAGGTTTAGGGTTTAGGGTTTAGGGTTTAGGGTTTAGGGTTTAGGGTTTAGGGTTTAGGGTTTAGGGGTTAGGGGTTAGGGGTTAGGGGTTAGGGGTTAGGGGTTAGGGGTTAGGGGTTAGGGTTTAGGGTTTAGGGTTTAGGGTTTAGGGTTTAGGGTTTAGGGTTTAGGGGGGTTTACGATATTCGAGGCACCCTTTTTGGGGGTCCTTATTATAAGGGACTCCTGTAGTTTGGGGGTCTATATTAGGGATCCCACCATAAGGGTCTTTGCGACACCCTAAACCCAAGGCTGAAATACAGCGCTTCCAGGATTTTCGGGGCTCAGGGCTTTCAGGGCTTGTCGGGCTTTGCTACATGCATGGTGCTGTTCCCCGGGGCCGAAGAAGCCACCCCTCGCGCCTGGCACACGTGAGTTTGCCCAAAGGGCTGTACAGCTGGGCGGGCTGTGCCGCGAGGACAGCATCCAAGCGCGCAGCAGCGACAAAACTGCAATCGGCCACTGACCCAAAACTCCCGAACGCGAACACAAGTCTTCGAAAATCGTTCGTGACTCTGAACCTATTTACCCTAAGCCTTCAAGGAACCCTAGAACCCAAACATACCCTAAACCGACAAAGCCTTAACACCCCGAAACGCCCTTACGGCTGGCAGCAGTTGGCCCCAGAGACCCGACGCCCAGGACCGAGGATCGTCCTGGTAGGTGTGGACAGGCCGGGTTTAGTGTTTAGGGTTCAGCTTTTTTGGGGTTCAGAGATGGAGAAAGAGAAAGAAGAAGAGAAGGAGAAGGAGAAGGAGAAAGAGAAAGAGAAGGAGAAAGAGAAAGAGAAAGAGAAAGAGAAAGACAGAGAGAGGAGTGTGACACAGCGAGAGAGAGAGAGAGTGTGACGCAGCGAGAGCGAGAAAGAGAGAGAGAGGGCGAGGGCTGGTGGGCTGCGGCAGGTTAGCGTTGGGCACCCATGAATCGCCCTAAACACGCGCGTACAAAACAACAGACATAAACAACTGTACAGTAATAAACGAATAAAGAAATAAGGCAGCAAAAAACGATTCTAAAAGCAGATACAGGAGGCTATATATACATATCTATCTGTATATATATATATATGTATATATCGATATGTTCATACACGTGTATGTATCTTAAGGCTTGTTTATTCGGCATGAATAGCAATGAACAATACAAAAAATGAATACACAAATCAATACATAAAGAAACAATGAATGAATAACTAAATAAATAAAGGTATATATATATATATACATATATATATATATATAATGTGTATACATATTGACGTTGGGGCCTTGCAGTCCCGGGCTGTAGGGCAAGTGGAAGTTTAGGGTCGCCAGATGTACCCTAAACCCTAAACCCTGAACCCTAAGCCCTAAACCCTAAACCCATAAGCCCTAAACTCTGACGTTGGAGGGTAAACGTTGCAGTGGTGCCCTAAACCCTAAATCCTGAACCCTAAACCCTAAGCCCTAAACCCCAAACCCCTACACCCTAAACCCATAACCCCTAAACTCTAAAGCCTAGACCCTAAACCCTAACCCACCGGCCCTACAAGAAGGCAACGTGCTACGGGTTTTGGGATTAGGGCCTACACCCTCAACCCTAAACCATCGAACTTCAAATTTGTTGGGAGCCTTCGGGAGGAGTGAGGAGTATTAGGGAACCCCCCTCCCTTAAGAACCCTATAAGTATTCATGCGGGTCATAGGAGGACTGGGGGATTCCCTCAGCCCCTCCCCCCGTTGCATCAAGCAAGGGGGTGTTGGGGGATCGAACCACGTAGCACGAAACCCAAACCCTAAACCCCGAACCCCTAAACCCGAAACCCCAGTATACTTATACATATATATATATACCAATATTATATATATATATACATATGTCTCTCTTTCTCTCTCTCTCTCTCTCCCTCCCGGTGCCTGGGCGGGATCCCAGGCGGGGGGGCTTGCCGCGACACTCGGTCCTTGATCTCCTCAGAACATAGGGTTCTTATAGGGTTTCGGGGGCAGGTAACCCAAGGTTCCCTAATGCTCCCTACTACTACCCCAGGACAGAACATTCATGGAGGGGGATTTGGCTCTCAAAATCCTCCAATTATCTCAAAAGCCCTAAACCCTAAACCCTAAACCCTAAACCCTAAACCCTAAACCCTAAACCCTAAACCCTAAACCCTAAACCCTAAACCCTAAACCCTAAACCCTAAACCCGACCGAATATCTGGGCCCTGGTTGCAGGGGCGAGGTTTAGGGCTTTAGGGCTTGAGGGATTTAGGGCTTCAGGGGCATAGGGAAGTCAGGTCTGCAGAGCTTCCGGGTTAGGGCTTAGGGTTTAGGGTTTAGGGTTCAGGGTTTAGGGTTTAGGGTTTAGGGTTTACGGTTTAGGGTTTAGGGCTTAGGGTTTCGGGTTTAGGTTGACGTAGAGTTCAGGGTGTAGGAGTTTCGGTTGTGGGGTTGTAGGGTTCGTGTCACGACCCTAAACCCTGAACCCTAAACCCTAAACCCAAAACCCTACAACCTAAACCCTAAGCCCGAAACCCTAAACCCTAAACCCTAAACCCTAAACCCTAAACCCTAACCCTAAACCCTGGTCTGGCGCCTTGGCCAGCTGCGTGAAGGCCTCGTCGACGTTGTGGGTGTGCTTGGCGCTGGTCTCCAGGTAGCCTCGGAGGCCCCAACCCTAAATAACCCTAAACCCTAAACCCTAAACCCTAAACCCTAAACCCTAAACCCTGAACCCTGAACCCTGAACCCTGAATTCTCAGAGCCCCGAAACCCTCCCTCAACCCTGAACTACCAAGGCCCCAGCTAGACTCTACAAGGTCTGTGGAGCACTTCTTACCCTAAAGAAATATTAGGGTAGTTTGATGGCCCCGTAGTATGGGCCCTTTAAAGAATGCCCCTGATATACCACAAGGGCCCATTATCCCTAAACCCTGCAATAGAGGTAAGGGACAATATTATTAAGGGCCCATGCAACTACCCTTAGAAGAACCCTAAACCCTAAACCCTAAACCCTAACCCATCACCCCCCAAAACCCTGTGATAGTTGAAGGGCTTGGGTTTATAGGCCTGCAGGGAAGCCTTCGGACCACTCGGCCCCTTCAACCCCCTACAAACCCCAATATGTGTATATCTCTAGATAGAGATGTATCCCAGACATAGACCACTCAACCCGAGATTGATTTATTTGTTTATTTATTTGTTTATTTATGCATATAGCTAGTCTTCGTTTGCTAACTTAGTGGCCGACCCCGTCAGGGCAGCCGGCTGCTGCCGAGAGACGCAGGCCAAGCTCCTCAGCCAGTTCGCGGGCCTCAAGGGAGCGCTTCTTTCGAGGTGTGCTCGTTTTCGGTTTGGGGTTTAGGGTTTAGGGTTTAGGGTTTAGGGTTTAGGGTTTAGGGTTTAGGGTTTAGGGTTTAGGGTTTAGGGTTTAGGGTTTAGGGTTACAAGGTTTAGGGTTTAGGGCTTAGTCATCGGCCAGCTCGCGAAGGCCTCAAGGAAGCGAGGCTTGGTATAGGATTTAGGACTTACAAGCGAAAGCATCCGTCCTCTTCCGCTATTGGAGGAGAATAACGATCCAGTAGATCTTCTCCTCGTATGGAAGAAGCACCGGAGAAAGTGCACACGCCAGGTCCACGGTGGGTGGTTCCACTTTCCTGAGGCCGTCTTTGAGTTGCTTGGTCGCCGGAACCAAGATTCGATGATTGTTCAAGTCAGCCACCGTACCCGCGCAATCTGGCTGAAGTCCGGAAAGACTGTCCCAAAGCGTCCTGAGTACCTACGGAAAGACTGTCCCAAAGGGTCCTAAGTCCTAAGTACCTACATAGTACAAAGTAGGGTTTCCATACCAGGAACTACTATTATGGTTTGGGTAAGTGTCCCCCTTATAGGTCCTTAGGACCCTTTGGGTGTGTAGCACGCCTCATTCAGAAGATCTACAGCTGCTTGGTGGTGAAGCGCTACCAGGGAGGATGCCAAGGGCCGACCCATTGGAGAGCTGTTTTTGGGGGATTAGGGTTTAGGGTTTAGGGTTTAGGGTTTAGGGTTTAGGGTTTAGGGTTTAGGGTTTAGGGTTTGGATGCTAGTGAATCAGGGTTGCTAAGGGTTTTTTAGGATTTTGGGTCAGATGTTTTTTGCTTGGGGTTCAGGGCTGCCTGTGGGGGTTTTAGGATTTAGGGTGCTACGTTGCGTTGTTTCATTTTTGTTTCGGGAGGGGGGCGGGGGTTGGCCATGCAGGTCTGGCAAAAGCTTGCCATCCACATTTTCTTCCTGGGGACAGAAATTTTATGTACTGTTGGTTTCCGAAAGTATAGGGGTACCCATGCTGGAGGTTCGTTGAATAAGGGCTATGCTGCTTTGGGATGATCTGGGGGGAAAGGCCCAGTTCACAAACCGTCAACCCTGATCCCTTTTAGGGTTTAGGGTTTAGGGCTTAGGGTTTTAGGGTTTAGGGTTTTAGGGTTTAGGGTTTAGGGTTTAGGGTTTAGGGTTTAGGGTTTAGGGTTTAGGGTTTAGGGTTTAGGGTTTAGGGTTTAGGGTTTAGGGTTTAGGGTTTAGGGTTTAGGGTTTAGGGTTTAGGGTTTAGGGTTTAGGGTTTAGGGTTTAGGGTTTAGGGTTTAGGGTTTAGGGTTTAGGGTTTAGGGTTTGGACTCGAAAATTCTGTGGCAGAGGCTCCTTTGTTCAACTACGGAGTCGGGGGGGCTTGCTTGCTTGCTTGCAGAAGCAGCCTTAATGCCTCCAAAAAAATGGAAGAGCTGCAAGGTTCAGGGTTTTAGGGTTCAGAGTTTGGTTTCGGGAGGAATAACCCTAAGCCCCAAAGCCAAAGCCCTCAACCCTAAACTCTAGATCCTCAGGGGGGCCCCCCCCGCCTCATCATAGGTGACTGCCCGCTTCGAAGCCATGTCCTTGGTTGCGGCAGCCCCTGATGCCAACAACCAAAGAAGCTCTAAAATCATCATGGGTTCTCAACTACCCTCGTTTATGGTTTAGGATTTAGGGTGTAGGGTTTAGGGTTTAGGGTTTAGGGTGGGTGGTAGGGGAACCCATGAAATAAGCCCATCCCTCGCCCTCTTCAGGACCAAATTAGCCCTAAAAGGATTTATGGCTCATGTACCCTGACTAGGATTCTCGTAGTAGTACCTAGAATTCAGGGACATGGTACGAATTTTGGGGCTCGCTTGGCCCCCAGGTGGGTCTGCTTAAACGAGCCAATGCGGTTTCCGATGTCCCTCGCCACTAATTACCACCCGCCCACCCCCCCCCCCCCCCCCCCCCCCCCAGTCTCCCGACGAGATTTTGTTGACTGTCTACGCCCGTACAACACCCCCACAAGAACCATCCACCCGCAAGTGCCCTTTGCATGTCCTTCAGTGCCCCTAGAAGCCCTACACCCTCGACTCATGAGCCCTGAACCTGATATCATATACCCTACACTGCTACAATTCCTGAAGGCATATGAACCATAGACCCTTTTAGGATTCATCTGGTCCCCTATAGGCCCTACACGCTAGGCTCTACACTCTGCACAGGGGGTTTAGGGTTTAGGGTTTAGGCTTCGGAGGCCAATTCTGTTCTAGGCCAGGGTCGCACTTGGTGCCCACCAGCATCTTGTTGACACCAGCCTGCGCGTACTTCTCAATCTCCTGCCAGGTAAACCCTAAACCCTAAACCCTAAACCCTAAACCCTAACCCCTGAGGGCTCCCCTTTTGGAGCTTCTCCGGACTCTGAAGTGCGATAATCTCTTGCAAGCATTCCTAGTCTGGGCGCTGACACGCTGTACCCCGCCCTGCACAAAGGACCAGAAAAACACACGCACAGGGTTTAGGGTTTAGGGTTTAGGGTTTAGGGTTTAGGGTTTGGGGTTTAGGGTTTAGGGTTTAGGGTTTAGGGTTTAGGGTTTAGGGTTTAGGGTTTAGGGTTTAGGGTTTAGGGTTTAGGGTTTAGGACACACACACAGACACACAAACACACACACACACACAGAGACAGAGACAGCCGTAGAAGGGGGAGAAGAACATACATCCCTCGCTTCAGGGTGCTTTGGACTCTGTGTGCAGTTTTGCCCCCCTTCTCCTCCAACCAGTGCCGCACGTTGTGAAAGGACTCGCGGTCCTGAGCGGGCCCATCTCAGCAACCGTCCATACCTGCATGGACCCCAAAGTATGTTAAAAACAACAGGTTTAAGGTTTAGGGCTCTTAGGACTTAGGGCTTAGATCGAAGCATTGGCCCGAAACCCTGAGAAGAATGGTATTCCTTCGTGCTGAGCCGGGTGAGACAAGTCCAGACAAGAACTGCCACACCCTCAACCCCAAATCCGAAACGGCCTACTTGCAAGCACTAAAGCCACGGCCCGAAAACCTGAAAAAACCCCACCAAGCCCTGAATCACATGCGTCAGCCCCAAACCCTGCAACCATGTAACCATACTCCTACTTTGGCCCTTAGCTTTTTTCAGAGGATCTTCAAAAGGGTCCTCGAGCCCAAGGACCTAAGGACACAACACAACCCTAGGGGTCCAAGGTAGAATTTCATGAGAACCTAAACCCTAAACCCTAAACCCTAAACCCTAAACCCTAAACCCTAAACCCTAAAAGAGGCCCAAGGGGCAGTGAGGTCGAAGGCCACGATGACCCCGTGCGCACCCCTGTAGTAGCCTGGAGCGGGGTGTAATATAGGGGCCTGAATAGTTGGATCAGGGTTTTGGGGGCTTACCATAGAAAGACTATAAAGGGACCATAAGGTAACACTAGCAGAAATTATTCCGACCCTCACGTTAGGACTTTAAGTTGGGGTTGAGGCTTCAGCGTACGCCGGGCTCAGGAGACAAGCTGCGGGAATCGAGAGCCTGCAGTGGGAGTGGAGGGTCTAAGCATGGTAAGTTTAGGGTTTAGGGTTTAGGGTTTAGGTTTAGGGTTTAGGGTTTAGGGTTTCAGGGTTCAGGGTTCTGGGTTTAAAGCCGCGCTCATGCAACCTCTACTTTTCATGACTAGTGACTGTTCTGCAGACCCGAGTTATGTTGAGCTTTTGGGAACTTTCAGGGCCCTAAACCCTAAACCCTAAACCCTAAACCCTAAACCCTAAACCCTAAACCCATGGTACTACCTGGAGGTACACAGGAATGATGCCCGGAAGGCGTGAGGGACACTACCAGTTAAGTGCAGCACGGTGGGGTTTAGGGTTTAGGGCTTCGCGTTTAGGGTTTAGGGTTTAGGGCTAGGGTTTAGGGAAATACTGAAGAAGGCTCGGAACTGGCGCAGATGGTACGGAACCGCTCCTGTCCTCAGCAAGAGGATTGTTCTCTTTCGGGTTTACGGTTTAGGGTTTAGGGTTTAGGGTTGCCCTAAACCCCGAAAGAATAAACCTAAACCCCTAAAACCCGAACCCCGATGTCCTTAAACACTAAACCCTAAAACCTAGCTAAACCCTAAACCCTAAACCCTAAACCCCAAACCCCTAAACCCAACTTTTGGCTCTCCGACATCTCCCACATGCTAAATGTCGATCTGCACATGGCGCACGTGGGGTTTAGGGTTTAGGGTTTAGGGTTTAGGGTTTAGGGTTTAGGGTTTAGGGGTTAGGGGCTTAGGGTTAAACCCTAAACCCTAAACCCCCTGAAACCCCTGAAGCCCCTTCAACCCTAACCCTTAACACCCAGGATTCAAGCACCCTAGGGTTAATATGGGTTCTACATCGTATTGCGAACAGTCCTAGGGGATCCATGGATTCATCTGATTATCCCAGCTAAACCCCTTAAACCCTTTAACTTCTAAACCCCCAGACCCCCAACCCCTAAACCCCTAAACCCCTCAACCCCTCAACCCCTCAACTCCTCAACCCCAAACCCTGAACCCTAAACCCTGAAACCCTAAACCCAAAACCCTAAACCCGAAAACCCCTAAACCCTAAACGCCTAAACCCCCAACCCCCAACCCCTAAACCCCTAAACCCCAAAACCCCAAAACCCCTAAACCCCTAAACCCCTAAACCCCTAAACCCCCCAACCCTAAACCCTCAACCCCTAAACCCCTAAACCCTAAACCCTAAACCCCTAAACCCCTAAACCCCTAAACCCTAAACCCTAAACCCCTACATCCCTACACCCCTAAACCCCTAAACCCCTAAACCCCCCCGAAACCCTAAAAACCCCTAAACCCCTAAACCCTAAACCCCTAAACCCCTAAACCCCTAAACCCCTAAACCCTAAACCCTAAACCCCTACATCCCTAAACCCCTAAACCCCTAAACCCCTAAACCCCTAAACCCCTAAACCCCTAAACCCCTAAACCCCTAAACCCTAAACCCTAAACCCTAAACCCTAAACCCCGTGCGGCTCGTGGTCCTGCAGTGTCCCAAATCTGGGCCTTGGCCTTCTTGCCGTCCTGAGGCGCGCTTGCGAGAGAAGCCCTGATAGGGTTTAGGGTTTTAGGGTTTTAGGGTTTAGGGTTTAGGGTTTAGGGCTAGGGTTTAGGGCTAGGGTTTAGGGTTTGGGGTTTAGGGCTTGGGGATTTGGGTTTAGGGTTTGGGGCTCGGCTCGGCTTTAACAATGGAGAGATGTCGCAGCAACTCCCCACACGCGCACTTGCCCCAAGGCCCTCTCATGTGAACTTTGACGAAGCTCCTTAAACTCCCAAAAAATCACTTAACTTCCGAAAACCCCTTAACCCCTAAAATCCCTAAACTCCCTAAAATCCGACTCCAGGGCAAGAACAATGACCCCAGAGCTAGGGTTTAGGGCCCACGGTTTAGGGCTAGGCTTAGGGGTATATACACTGATCCCGGTCCCCCAATGAATCCCCTCCACGTGCGCAAAATTGCGGCCTTGACAAAGCAAAGTCAGACATGTTGAAATGAATCAAAAACTCGATTGGTTGATGAATTGTTGTTGCCAATTTTAAACACGTGGTGCTTGATATAACAAAATGCTATGAAAATAGCAATCAATGCTATGAAAATAGCCCTACACCCTAAACCCTAAACCCTAAACCGTAAACCCTAAACCCTAAACCCTGAACCGTAAACCGTAAAACCTAAACCCTAAACGCTAAACCCTAAACCCTAAACCCTAAACCCTAAACCGCAGCCGCGCGGCCAGGTGCATGGTTCGAATCCTGAAGTCGACGCCGATCGTCGCGACAAAGTTGTCGGAATACGTGTCCTAAGGTTGGGCTTCGTGTTTAAGGGATTCAGGCTTTAGGGTTTGGGTTTAGGGTTTAGGGTTTGGGGTTTAGGGTTTAGGGTTTAGGGTTTAGGGTTTAGGGTTTAGGGTTTAGGGTTTAGGGTTTAGGGTTTAGGGATTCAGGCTTTAGGGTTTGGGTTTAGGGTTTGGCGTGCAGGAAAAAGTCTTCTACGGCGAGCAAAGGAAACTAGCTTGCGACGTGTTTTTTGGCTACAGGCTTGGCTTTTAAGGGATTTCGGCTTACAAGCTTTTAACCCTAAACCCTAAACCCTAAACCCCTAAATCCCCTTTCCAATATTTTAGTCTTCGTGGAACATGGAAAGCAGCCCCAAGTTCGGCTTAAACCCTATGGCTAAATCCTAAACCCTAAACCCTAAAGCCCTAAAGGTCGCGGCCAGCGTCATCTGCGAAGCGCAGGAGGAGGCAAGACTTGCCAACACCTGCCCGGAGGGTTTAGTATCTAGGCCTTAGGGCTTAGTAGGGTTTAAGAGTTTGGTGTGGGGTCAACTTGGGCGCATCGTCACTGAGAAGGGGAAAAATAGAAGGAGCTAAGTTTGGGAGGTTCTCTCTTATACCAACTGTCCTTCATAGGGATTATACTAGGGGGTACTGTAAGCCCTCGGAACATCCCAAAGCCAAGTTTTAGCTTCCAAGGGGCTGGCAACCCCAAAACGCTTTCAACCCGGTAAACCCGCAAAAAACACTTCGATGAAGCCCCGTAAACAATATGAAAACCCTCTGAAGCCCTGGACCCTGCAAAACCCTCCAAACCCTCGAAACCCTATAACACCCTTATAACACCCCATGACATCCTATAATAAGGCCCTGTACCACCTTACAATAAGGCCCCAGAAGGCCATGATAAGGCCATGTTAAGGCCCCTTCCTCGACCCTAAACCCTAAACCCTAAACCCTAAAGCCTAAACCCTAAACCCCGAACTAAAAGCTGCTCGTTGGAGCTGTGCGACAGCCGGAAAGCCGGGATTCAGGGGCTGGACTCCATCACTTCTGGGTTTAGGGTGCAGGGTTTTGGGGTTTAGGGTTTAGGGTTTAGGGTTTAGCGTTTAGGGTTTAGGGTTTAGGGTTCAACATATAGGGCCTTGGGGTGTGGGGGTTGGTTTGGGGTTTAGGGGTTGGAGGCTGCATTGGGAGTTTAGACGAGATGTCGGGCTTACCCTAAACCCTAAACCCGAAACCCTAAACCCTAAACCCTATCCCCTGAGTTGGGGGGGAGTTTTCGAAGGCTCCGGGGCCTGAATCCCCAATCAGCAGGAGTCGGAAGAGGTAGTCATGGTCCTTTGGAGCCCAAAAACCCTAAACCCTAAACGCAAAACGCAAAACCCTAAACCCTAAACCCTAAACCCTAAACCCTTTGTCTTGGGCTTTCGGGATTTCGAGACTCAGGGCTCCAGGCGCTAAGGGCTGAGGGTAGGAAGGGGTAGGAAGGGGGTAGGTGCACAGGGCCATGTTGGCGGGGGATTGCATAAACCCTAAACCCCAAACCCTGCGCCCTGCGCCCTAAACCATAAACCCTACACCCCAAACCCTAAACCGTACCAGTGGACCGTTCTGCCGGGTTGCTGGCTCAGGGTTGAGGGTTTCGGGTTTGGGGTTTAGGCTTTCGGGTTTTGGGCTGAGGGTTGAGTCCTAAATATGCCTAATGATGTTGTAAGGTTCTGCTCTGGGTCTTCGATGGTGTATTCTTGATACGGAGTGCCATGATGAATGGACCCCGCAACTACCATTTACTTAAGACCCCCCAAACAACAAGATAATAATCCCCATATTGCCCTTATAAGGAAAATGTTTTCATAGCTTCGACTTCTTGCTTTTCTTTATTTATATTTGTTTTTTTTTATGTTTCTTTGGGGGGGGCGGGTGTTCTTAAGCAAAGAGTAGACAATAGACAAGGGACAAAGACTAGACAAGGGACCCAAAGTTTGAACAGCCCCCCTTCACCATATTCATACGTCGAATGAACTTCAATCACGAAAGGAACAACCCCCCCCCCCCCCCCCCCCCCCCCCTCCCCCCGCACCCCCAATTTAGAGCCCTCCCCAATTAGGTAGATTAGTTCAGGGTTTAGGGTTTAGGGCTTATTGTTTAGGGTTCTGGGTTTAGGGTTTGGGGTTTAGGGCTAGGGCTTGGGGTTTAGGATTGGGGGCCAACAGTTCTCAGTCTGAGAAAGGGCTTAGGATGTCGGTGGGAGGGTGCCGATGTCCGTTGGGAGATCAGGCCCCGTGATACTCTAAACCCTAAACCCTAAACCCTAAACCCTAAATCCTAGACCCTACACCCTAAACCCTAAACCCTATACCCTGAACCCTCAACCCTAAACCCTAACTCAATTCCACGCGCGCTTACTGCCGAAAGCCCTCTTAACGCAACACCCACCCAAACCAACGGGAGGATTCAAGAAACAGAGCCCCTCCAAGTAGCACACTACCATTGGGTCATTCTTTGGAACCTTTAAGGGGGTCTACTTTTTGGATCTTGGACCTTAGGGTTTAGGGTTTAGGATTTAGGGTTTAGGGCTTAGGGTTTACAGGGTTTAGGGTTTAGGGACTCTTGTGAAAACCCAAAAGCATGACTTTCTGTCGGGCGGCGCTGGTCGGGGGCAGCAGGGCGCTCGCCATGGCTGTCGCGGAAGTGGCGTCAGGGACAGGGAGGGAGCAGAGATTGCGAACCTGCGGAGGTTGCTAATTTGTCAGAGTTTGCCCTTCTTTTAGTTTCTTTAGAGTTTGTATATATACTGTTGAGTTTTGGTATACCAGTGAGCATCTGCATAGTCTCCACCCCCAGGAGCTTGAAATCCTGAATCCGACTGAATCTGGGCGCCATGAACCCTAACCCTTCCTTTCCCAAACAGACAAAATAACCTAAAGCCTGTTTAGGGGCTTATGAGCCCAAACCCTAAACCCGAAATCTCCCACCGTAGGGCCCCTGGCCCCAGGACCCTCGAACGATTACTTCCCCAAGCGCCTGTGAACTCTCAAGCCAATCGAGACCTCACAACAAACAAACCAAAAAAACAAGCCCTACCTAAACCCTAAACCGTAAACCCTAAACCCAAAACCCAAAACCCTAAACCCAAAACCCTGAACCCCAAGCCCAGTGCGGGGCTGTGGATTCTAGGATCTTAGGGGTCTTTTGGTTGACGACGTCTCACCATGAGACTCAAAATCTCCCCCAACCCAGAACAGCCCGGAACCCAGGAGGGCCTTGGGGCTTAGAGTTCAGTTTAGGGTTTAGGGTTTAGGATTTAGGGTTTGGGGTTTAGGGTTTGGGGTTTCGGGTTTAGGGTTTAGGGTTTAGGGTTCAGGGTTCAGGGTTCAGGGTTTAGGGTTCAGGGTTTAGGGCCGCCCCAGCTGTCCTAGCTTCGAGGGCCCAGGGGTCGCGATGCCGAGCTCCGAGCAGAGAAGTTGCGCCTGGCTGCGACCTGAGGTCGGTCTTGTTCCGCGATTGGGCATCTCCCAAAATAGGGTTTAGGGTTTAGGGTTTAGGATTTAGGGTTTGGGGTTTAGGGTTTAGGGTTTAGGGTTTAGGGTTACTTGGAGGTTCAGGGTACTTACAACCCCAAGCATAACCTAGCCCCAAATAGCATAGAATCTCCTTCAAAGGGAACCCCGAAAAGGGTACCCCTATGTTCGGAGACCCGTAGGAACCTAATGCTGTATCCTCACCCCTTCTTCAACAAGATTCCTACAACGAAGACCCTAACCCTTTCCCAAACCCTACACCCTGTACGTCCACGTGAAACTCATTCACTCGGAACGGAATGAGCTGACCTCCTGTGCGACTACAAAAAGTTAAAAGGAGGGGGCTTGTACCCCTCCCCCCCCCCCCCCCCCCCCACAACCCTAAACTTGTACAGAGGGACCCCGCCCAACGCCCTAGACCCTAAAGTCCTAAAGGGCTCCCACAAGCCCGAGAGGCCCTCACCTACTTCACATTCAATGAACCGAAGGAAGTCTTCCACTGCTCCTCGATCGTACAAGTACTTGCAATAATAATGACAGCAAGAAGGAGGTCTAGGTTTTAGGCTTCAGGGTCGAGGGGTTAGTTGCGGTCTTCTCTTGGCGGTACGACCCCGCCTAGGTCCAACGCCTGCTTTGCCATGGCCTCACAGTTCATGGCCCTTGTGGCTCGTTTCGCCACAGAAAAAGCAACTGTTCTGCCTCCTTGGGTCCCACTTTGGGCTTTCGGCGGTCTTTTGCTTCTTCTGCTCGGGCTCGTTCTTCCTCAACGGCGATGGAACCCTTTTTGGCATTGCCTTTGTCTTCGGGTTCATTATCACGCCCTTTTTCTCGCTGGCCTTTCCCATTGGTCTTCATCACTTCGCCGGCCGATCGCATCATTACCACGCCTTTTTACTTTGGGGTTCAATGTCTAGGGGCAACAATGGGGTTTAGGCTGTTTAGGGTTTGGGGCAATCATTGTAGTGATAGTGATGATAGTAGTGATAATGGTAGACCTCAGAAGTCGAGAAACCATCTAAGTAGATCACGGTCAACACAACAGTAGTTAGCAGGAACAACCGCGATGTTTTGGTCCAGAGCCTGAACTCCCGAAACCCTGAGCCCTAAACCCTAAACCCTGAATCCTGAACCCTAAACACTATTATTACCCCTAAACCATAAGACCTAAACCCCCTTAAATCCTATTAATACCCTAAGCCCTAAACCCTAAACCCTAAACCCTAAACCCTACTAACCCATAACCCATAACCCACAACCCTAAACCCTAAACCCTAAACCCTAAACTCCACAAACCCGGCACCAGCCCACCTGGGCCTCCACGTCCCTCAAATTCGCCCGGATGTCCTTCGGATCTGCTTTGGGAATCAGTGCTTTGGCGGTATAGGGTTTAGGGTTTAGGGTGTAGGGTTTAGGGTTTAGGGTTTACGGTGCAGGTTTTAGGGACTAGGTTTAGGGACTAGGGCTTGGGGGGGGGGGGGGGTGTAGGGTTCAGGGTGTAGGGTTCTAGGTTTCAGGATCTAGGGTTTAGTGTTTTTAGGGCTCTAGGGTGCTAGGGTTTTAGGGTTTTCTAGTTTTAGGGTTCTATAGTTTTAGGGTTCTGGGGTTCTAGGGCTTCATGGCCGTAGGGTTCTAGGGTTTAGGGTTCGGGGTAAGGGCTTCAAGCTAGGTCTGGGAGGTTTCAGAGGTCAGGTTTCCAGAGCACAGCGAGGTGCGCGCGGCACGCGGGCAAAGCGTTTGATGCATCACTCCGTGCCAGGTTACACAACCTCTGGTCGCGCTGGTGCTCTCGAAGGTTATTTTTCTTATGGCGGTCAGGTTGTAAGGGTGCATTGAGTTAGGATTTGCCCCAACCCCGAATTATCCTAAACCCGAACAGCCCTAAACCCGAACATCTATGGGGCCCGAAATGTCGACGAAACTTGTCGCGAGACAGCGAACGAACAAAGTCGAAGAGCCAGAGAACCAACAAAGCCAGGAAGCACCGATGCACTCAAAAAAACCTTTCAATTGCAGTGTAGACCCTTCCCCCTTTGAAAAAAAAAACACTAAGCCCGAAAACCTGAAAACCCTAAACCCGAAACAAAACCCGAATTCCCACAGTCCTTAAACCCTAAAAACCACAAAATCCCTGAAAACAGCCCTAACCCCCACCCCCCTTCTACCCCCCCCCCCCCAAAATAAAAATAAAAAAACATAACGAATAATGATATACATAAATTACAGAACCTAAAGACACGCCAGGTGCCTCGCGGGAGAGGACTCCGTCTCCATCCCGGTCGAGGTAGAACCAGAACATCCTGTGCTCTAGGGGTTCTACCTTGGACCCTTAAGGTTGTACCCTTGGGTTTTGGGGCCCCCTTTTAAGGATCCTTAAGGGAATACGAGGGCCATACTACGAGTATATTAGGGGGAACCTGTAGAAGTACAACCTTAAGGGTACGAGTCTGAATCCCTTGATGTGCTGAGGGGGTGGAAGGGACCCTTCGTCTTATTCCCCTATATAACCCCTAAACCCTTAAAAACAAACACCTAAATCTTATTCCCCTATATAACCCTTAACCCTATATAACCCTTAATCTTATTCCCCTATATAAGCCTAAACCCTTAAAATAACCCCTGAATAAAAACAACCCCTTAATAATCAGAACATCCTGTGGCTTCGTTGCAGAGCCCTCAGGGCTCTAGGGGTTCAGGTGCTTCAGGGGCTAGGGTTTTGGGGTTGCGGGTTATAGATTTGGGGGTTTTGGGGTTGCAGGATATGGAATTAGGGTTCTAGGGTTTCGCGGTTTAGGCTTTCGATTTCAGGGTTTTGACGTTTAGCAGTTTTTGGTGTCAACAGCACATAGGGCTTCGGGGTCTTATGGGAGATGATGGGGGCTTCGGGTCTGGCGCGATAAGAGAGCGAAAGGGCTTGCGATCTCCGGGCTCTATCGGTTTAGGACTTTGAAGCCGAAACCCTGAACCCGAAACCCTAAACCCTAAACCCTAACCCTAAAAACCCGGAACCCAGGGGTCCTTTCGGCGCTGCTCGCCCCAGCGCAGACCCTGCGGAGGGGGTGGGCCAGTGGACGCAAGAGCAAAGCCCTAAACCCTTACACCCCCAAGCGCTTGAGCCTCTTTTTGCACCCCAAAAGCCCCAAAACGCCTAAACCCAAACCCTGAAACCCCATACCCTTCAAACCCTCAATCCTTAAACCCCAATTTTCCTCAATCCGAGGCTCATGCCCAAAGATCTTCAATTCAACCCCAACCCACGGCTTTCAGAACATGACCCTAGACTCGGAAGCCCAACAGGCCAGAGGCAAACCCTAAACCCTAAACCCTAAACCCTAAACCCTAAACCCCTAAACCCTGAACCCTAAACCCGAAACCTTAAACCCGAACCCTAAACCCTCAACCCTACTCTTTAGGGCTCCAGTGGCTTATGGAGCCTAAAGTAGGGTTTAGGGTTTAGGGCTTAGGGTTTAGGGTTTAGGGTTCAGGGTCTACTTAGGGTTTAGGGTTTAGGGTTTAGGGTTTAGGGTTTAGGGTTTAGGGTTTAGGGTTTAGGGTTTAGGGTTTAGGGTTTAGGGTTTAGGGTTTAGGGCTTCGTGCGGCCTGTAGTCGAGGTCAGTGGGACCTGGTCGGAAGCGGTCCTGGCGCCAGTGGAAGGTTTCCTTGTGTTGTGCTATCCCTACCAGGACGGGCTTTAGGGTTTAGGGTTTAGGGTTTAGGGTTTAGGGTTTAGGGTTTAGGGTTTAGGGTTTAGGGTTTAGGGTTTAGGGTCAATTCTACCCTACACCCCCTTAAAGAGGCCCTTTTCGGTTGATTCAGAGGATTATATTTAAGGACATGCCCTAAACCCTACACTTGGACTTCCTGATTGCCCTACTTGGAGGTTCATCGTACTAGCCCAATTATAACACTGTACCTGTAACCCACTTATAACCCCTTTCAGTGCCCTATTGTGGCTATGATTGGGTGATAACAGTTATAATTGGGTTATTAAGCGGCTATTAAGTACCATGAACCTCGAATCCTTAGACTTCATACTGCTTTGCACACTGTGCTCGCTAAGACTTAGCACTTCGGGCGTAGTCTCAGAGTTGGGGGTTTGGGAGTTGGTTGTCTTACTTGAAGCCCTAAACACCTCCCAAACCCTAAACGCTAAACTACAT